TAATGTATTTTATTGTAATTATAATTGTTTTTACATTTATTTTAATTTTAATGAAGCAATGTGTGCAATTTTCAATGCATCTGGCGCGTTAAGCGCCCGCCTCTCGAAAACCGTAAGAGATGGATCGGATATATCGCATTAGAAATACGTATTACCTCTTGAGCTTTCCATATCTGTTTTCAGATTTTACATGCCACAAATGGTTTAGGTTCTACAAACATTTATTTATACAAATAAAGCCGCATCGCATTTCACGCTACTGTTGTGTTTGTGTGTTGCGTCATACTATGTAGACATAACAAGATGGATGACATTAAAGCTAAAATAGTCCGTAGTGCAGAATAAATGAGACAATACAGAAAACGTAAAAAATTGAAGTATTAAATAATGAACCTGAAGTTCCAAAAAAATACCAAAAACCAATGATGAACGTGGATAGTCAAATAATCATTGTCTTAATCAAACTATTTACTCAATTGTAAAGCATGTATAAAGGGAATATTTAGAATAAAGCTAATATATGAACTCCCTTCAATTGTATTTATTGCTTAAATATAATTTAAATACAAAGACGTATTTAAGTCAGATTCTCCGGAACCGTCGTTCCACTGTCAATTTTTTTTCTAAATGAACTTCTGCGGGTAAATATAACAGAAAGTAAATTTTCCAGATTATGATTGTGCCTTATTGCCCTTTTGTTACAGCCCTAAGATGGATCCAAGGGTATATGATGAAAGCAGCCATCAGGGTTTGAAATTCAATGTCTGTACGATCCATTATGAGGACGAGGTAGTACGGGAAAGGACTGCCCAAGCTTCGGATTCATTAAGAAAATCTATTCTCGAAAAGCATGTGGGGAAGAAATATGTGGAGGTATTAAAAATCTTATAAACTATGTTACTAAGCCTTTCTTGAACAGTCACCATATTATTAACCGGACACAACACAACTCATCTGCGTATACTAAAATATGAAAATGTCGATGCTGAGAATATCCTAAAACTGTTTATTTCCCATCTTCATTATCCGAATTTTTTAAATGATTAAAGACAGCTGCCTTTGGAATCTTCGGTTACTGTTACAGAGCTTGAAGATGTGGAATATTTGTAGTTTGCGGTTAATGCCATGCTTTATCTGAGGCAACTAATGCGTTTTATTAAGTTTCGATTGCATTAAATTGCATTTATGGACCCACGGTTGAGGTTACTTAAGAATGACATATCTTACATGCAAGAAAATTTGATTATTACATTAATGAAATTCTGTGTTACTGGAAAAAAGCATAATGCTCCTAACAAATACTGATAGCAAAGTGAAAAATAGAGCATAAACAATGTATGATTATAATACATATATTTATTTTGGCCGTCTATACACAAACTTATTAAAATGAGTTGTTAAAATATTATAACATTCACAATATAAATATAAAATATGTTATGTTTTGATGCTCTTATTATCGTATTTCGAGTTTACATTCTATGGCATCTTCATATTAGAAACGACATGTTTCGATGTACTAAGACATCATCTTCAGGTTATCAATTCTATTAATTTTATAAACTATTATATACTAAGCTGCGTTGCATTTATTGATTTTATGCGGTTGTGAATCCATCCATCTTCATGATTGAATTGGTGTTAATGTTTCGTTGTTTATTGTCATGTTGTAATGTGTTGTATCATGTCTGACACCGGGAGACGATAACCTGATACTCTTATAACCTGATGATTTCAATACTGGAGGAGGGTCAGTTTTATACCTATGTATGCAAGGATTCACAATCCATCACCACGTCGGATCTTTGCCACACACCAGTAAGTACAGATATTATCAAGTTTACTTGAAAAGTAAATCCATCAATTTTCTGAACTGTTTGCTTATGGAATCTGCATGTGTGTTGTATTCAAAAGCGTACGTACATGTCTAACACATTCAGTCTTCAACAGCACTGTTGTCGGTAGTTAAAATTTTATTTGTGAGGGATGAATTTTGTAGTGGAATCGAGGAAGGAGAGCTAAGCCACATTCAAATTTTGCTAATTTAATGTCACTGTGTTTCCTGAGCACACAGTTATATCATTTGTCTGTAGTTTATTTTTTAAGTTCTAACGAAATAAGTCTATCAGCATAACACGTGATCATCTTACGCTACGTTATGTACAACAAATGTCATGATTGATCGAAGATCTATCAAATAAAATTACACTAAAGATGTCGCTTTAAGAAAAGTAAGATATAATAAAGTTCATGGACTTTCTTTAGAGTAATATAATTGTCTACATTTTAAACAATACGGAGTGAATAATTTCACATTAATTCATTTATCGTTTCTTGTGAAACTTCATGGAACTCTTGAAATTAAGAAAAATAGAAGATAGTTTATTTCTTTTAAACCCGTGTTGTTCTGTTGGCAGTCAACTTATCGATAATTCATATTTTATGGTCGTCTTATAGGTGTCAATCTTGTTATATTTCTGCCAAATGACTTTTCCCACCTCTTGGAAGGTAGTTATATATGTATCTGTAGCATGATGGGATGCCTCCATTTTTTAATTGACAAGCGATGAAGTTACATAAATATGTGTATCATAAGTGCATTGGCCACGTAGCAATGTCTGGAGACTTGGCCGCTACAGATCAATAGACCTGAACCTTCTATATTTATGTCCGTAGGGTTATGCGAAATCATGCGTGAAAATGAAAATCAGAAATAGAACAGACAACTTTATAAAATTATGCATGTTGGAAGACACGTAAATGGTTGTATTCAAGTTCTTGAGGATTACACATTTCGTAGAAAAATGAGTAACCGTGCTGACAGTGGATACTTGAAACATACGATATTTTATAAAGTCAATTGCAAATCGTAAGAACTTGTTTAGTAATTGAGCTTACTTATGTAAAAATAATTCTTGAATTTCCCATACTCATAACTTTATAGCCACTAATAACACAACCGATGGCGATAGAATGTTTCTGACTGGAATTTCCGTCAGATTGATACAAATTCTTGAATCACATTGTGTATCAACATTATTTGTATTAAAACCAATGACGAATACTGATGGACAATGAATTTGTGAATAATTTCCCAAAGGTCATAAATAAACTGCCACCTAAGCCATTTCTGTCTTTGCATCTCGCATAGTGGACTACTTATGACGACCCTCATATTCCATTTAACACCACTGCAGGAGAGACAGCTCACACTCAGAAGCTGTAAAATAATTGAAAGTCATAACGTATTGAAATTATTTTGTTTTGTTACAGGGATCCCAGGTGATGAAAACGGAAGGACAAGGACATTATAAACTACGGTAAGAAATTTACTAAATCATGTTGATGGATTAATAAACTTTATTGATGTCTTATAGGACAGTCTGTGTTCTGAAATTTCCGTGTTTTGACTTCTGCGGGTAAATACCACAGAATGCAAAATATCCTGATTATGAATGTGTGTC